ACCACTGAGTAAGTCCTGTCATTCCTACTCTTCAAACAAAAACAGAACAACAAAAGAAAAAGAAGAACATCGAAGAATTTGCTTAGCATAATATGATAGTACCGTGATTTCAATGGAACTGGTAGGTATAATGAAGATATTTCAAAGATCTGAGAAGGAAAGAGGCCTCAGAGACACAATATACATCATATGGAGATAGAACTGTAGAGAGAAAAAGAGTGTGTAGGACATGTTCAGAAAAGGCTAGCGAACGTTAAAAATCTCAGTGATGGCAAGGGAATAGAGGTTTCTTGCAGACTCACTGATAATGTTGTTAATAGTCTCCAGAACTGGTATGAGAGAGCTTTACGCTCAAACAAAGGCGATCTGGAAGGAATGCAGAATACAATTTGAGCAACTTGGTGCCATAAAATGTCAACTGACATCAAACCTCAGCATCACTTGTACCCTAGTAGTGAAAATTCTTGATGTAAATTCCATGAAGTTAAGGCTCAGAATATTCACACAAAAATTCCATGCCAGACAGTGTATTGAAAGCCGTCAAGCTCATCTGTGAAAGATTAGCTAATGACGAGCTCCTGACAAAATGCTTAGATTGCATCACTCAGAATGCTAATGAGTCCCTAAACCATGTGATATGGAATCGTTGCCCCAAGAACACCTTTGTCGGTGCAAAGATGGGCTGCAGCTGATGTTGTCAGTGCTTTCAATGGTGGAATGCAGTCAAGGAAGAGGGTACTCGAGCTGATTAACATCAGCGATAGAAGTTTCACTAACAAATTCATTGCTAATTCAGACAAGAAGAGATTATTTGAAGCACAAAACAAAGCTTTCATGAAAGGAGTAAAACAGCGACAGGTAAGAAGAAACGCCGAAAAGGGATTTGAGAAGTTCAAGGAAGACAAGGAGGGTGAAACTTATGCTCCAAGTGTTATTAATACCAAGAAACATATTAAGGATTTAAGTTTCACAACTTGCACGATGAAGTATACCTTTTTTCAACTAGGCAAACACCCAATCCCGTTTTTCTCAAAATCTGAAAATTGACATTCTCATTGTAGTTTTTGATTCATAACTTCAGATATGTTGATGCTACAGACCTCAAAATTAGCAAAATCTGCATTATTAGTGTATCTATAATATGTACTAAGGTAAAGGTGATAAGATATTTGTTCTTTATTAAATGACCATTAACGAGTCACAGTAGCATATGTCCTACTTAAGGCATACTCATTAGTGTTGTAATTTGACCCTGAATTAATTTTCAGAGTTTTCCTTAGTTTAAACCAGTTCCTTACATCCCATCAAAGTCTGGAACCATTTTCAGGAGCAATCAGTCATGTTTGTAAAAGTTATAAAGAACATAAGACATTTCTTTTGTATTTCGTTATTTTTATAACATGCAAATTAGCCACATCGGTAAAGTTACAAAACATGTTCCAGAATATGTATTTGTACCGATTTCAATATATTTTCATATAAAAAAACATAGTATGAAGATGCTTTTTTCTGATAAAAAGGCCAAATCCTATATAACACGATGTAAAGAGTATATGATACCTTAAACATAATCATCATCACGACAAAGTTAAGCTTGAGAAATAATTCAAGAGTTTAAAATCATGAGGTGGGTGTTTTACAGACCTACTTACGTTTTAATAATTTTGTAGTAGAGTAACGATTTATTACTACAAAAAATATACTGCATTATAAAATTAAAAGAAGACTTTAAACTATTTTACCTTCATACGTGAAATTTTCTCGCACACTTCCTCTACAATTTTAGTATTGTTACTAAACACTAGATGGCACGTCATATCTTGCTACGGGCTTTATAGGAATATAACTTTGAAAAAAAAAAACGAAAATTCAATAGTTGTACTTGAGGGATAGTATTATTTCTGCTAAGAATATTTTATTTAAGCATATCAGAAATGAGCGTTATCAACAAAATTCTCTGTCATAAACTAAGACTAGAAGTGAGATTCAAAGTATTAGTACCCACCCGAAACTCAGAAAACCAAGGTAGAAATATACCAAATTTTTACACTGGACAAGTACCTAATAATTATTCATATAAAAGCTGATCTTCTTTTATCGGTATCTTGTGTCTTCTTTATAAAATAAAAAACAAGAAACAGGAGTTCGAAACTGGGTTTCAGAATCAATATTCTTCTCGGTTGGTCTGTAACCCGATATATATAGTCTCTGCTACGATCGTCGCATCTCAAAGGTAAATCGTGTGCCAAAAAGAAAAAAAAAAGATTTTCACAAACGGGTATCTCAAACTGCCCAACAAAATTGTGGGAAGGGACAGACAGTTTTGATATTTCTGTGAGCAGCAATGACGAGAATTAATAGGCGAAAGCGTAAGGTTATGTCATTGGCCTTAATATCTTTGTTACCATACCAAGGGGGCTTCTAACACATTGGACAATGACATCCTCTATTTCAAAAGTCCACTGATCCCCTATTTAGATATCTGTTGTAGAGTCAGTCACATGATTTAACACGTTAAATTCATTGGTTACTGATTTGAGTCTTGTTGAGAAGTGTTATTTGTGGTCTAGGTACTTGGATGAAAGAAAAATAAGTAAAAACTTCGAACTGATTTCGAAACATGCTTTCAAAACTGAATAGACCCATAGACATCACAATATAACTGTTTTTGTAGAAACTGTTATAGCACGAAGTTCCTTGGGTCTTACAAGATAAGCAATAAGTAAATTGCTGGCTGAAAAAAAGTTTATACAACTAATAAGAATAACGTCCCACTATGGAATAGCAGTAAGTTGGTGGACTTCCAACTCTAATATTCGGGATTCGATTCCTTGTGATGTACATGGCAGATATCCCAAAGTGGCATTGCTCTAAAACAAACAAACAAACGCATAGAAAGAATTTTTAATAAGAATACTTCTGCCACGTAGCCGTTAAATTAAAAATTAGACATCACGTATTAAAAGTATATAATATAGTGTTGCGTCATCGAGATCACGTGACTATTCTCACGCACTCTAATTGTAATTTTGTGTTTGTAATTCTGTACAGTTAATTAAGTTATTGTTAATTGTTATTGGTTTATTGTATGTGGT